GAAGCCTTGTCAAGCAACCAAAGGTGAACAAACAAGAAATTCCATGGAGCTGTGCCACACATACGGACCCCCTTGTAGCCTGCAGGATGGCTCTCAATGATGGACGAATATTAAACATTGTTCTCATAGACACCCCTAAAATCTAGTTTATAAAAACAATATAAAAGATAAGAAATATTACTGCTTACCTTAAGTATATAAAATATTGTCTGGAAGTAAATTTCTCTCTTCATCATATATAGGCATAATTAGTACCTGCCATCTGTTTCAGTATATCTTTTCTGTGTTTTAGTGTTTGTTTCTAGAATATCAAGTAAATGTGTAAAATGTCAACACAAACCTGCAAAATCAGGGATAATTCAGTAATTTGAATCAATCTATTCCAATTGATTACAACATTAGTTCACAGGTAATTTATTTATCATCTAAGGCCTAAGAACAGAGCAGTTTTGTTTGTATTTTCCCTCCTATCAAGTATTTTAAATGTACATTTAAAAAGCAATCAAAGGCCACAAAGCAAAGTTCCAATTCAAGTTTAATTTGAACAAAAAGAAAGTCAAGAAGAAAGAATGTCCAGCTTCCCCAATTTCAAGATTAAAACACTGAAAATACAAGAAATAATTTTAAAATGGATTTTGAATCCATATTTTAACCACTGAAAGGAGAAAAAATAAGAGAATGAAATGAAAGTAAAATGGAAAAAGAAAAAAGATAAGATCTAATGGGAAGGCGATATAACAAGAGCCAGCTAGAATGTTCAACGGGGGAGAAGAAATGAGAAAGAGTAAGAAGGGGAGAAGGGAGGGTAGGGAAGACCAAAGGTAAATACAATGAAGAGAAATAAAACTTTACGTAAATGAGATGTAATATAAAGACATATACCCATACATCTGTGTGTGTATATATATATGCACCATTGACAATTATAATACCAACACCTAATATTGTATGGCATTTTTTTTTCAAAGTTTACCAAGCACTCTTGCATATATTGCTCTTTTATTCTTTTATAATCTTCATCACAATTCTGTGAGTTAGATCATTGCTTCCACTTAACAATGAAGAGAAAAGTTCAAAGAGGTAATATGAATTGTCCTACATTATTTAACAATAACAACAGCCATATTAGTAGTAGTAATAACAGCAGCAGCAATAACAGAAGTGCAGCAATTCATAATTATTGAGCACATACTATGTGCCAGTCCCTGTGTCACGAGCACAAACGAATTTTCTCGTTTAATCCTTACAACAGCACTTTGAGGTAATGATTATCCCTACTTTACATGAGGCTGAGGCTTGGAAGGTTTAATAACATGCCCAAAGCTGGACAGGGGCAAATCTAGAATTCCAGTTGAGACCATGTGACTCCCAAGACTGTCCTCTCTGTGACTGCTCTGTAAGTTCAGACCTGGAATTTGAACCCATACCTTCAGATGCCCTACCTGATGCTCCCTCCATAAATACAAAAGGAGAAAGACTCATGCCTTACACTCAGCACTCCTCCCCACACCGGGGTCCAGCACACCACCTAGAAGCCCCATTCCTCACATCATCATGCTCAACTGGCCAAATTCTCCTTCCCTTACCCAACTCATGCCCCACCCTTGTAAGGACAGCGTCTAACCTGTCCCCAATGACTTGCCATCAGTTAACACTTTTTCTCCTATGGTTACGTGTAGAGATCCACCAACGGGCCTGTCTACAATTTTTACGTGCTATCAGGACTCACATATTACATGGTTCAGTTGTGCACATCAAGGAGTTTGCTCATGGAAACAGAGTAATGATAGAAAAAGGATTGGAGATCGAATTTCAAATATTTACCATTGGTCAGATGTGTTTAAATTTGAGATCCAGAAGTTCTCTTCTCAGAAGGGATCTCAGAAGGGATATATTTTACGTACTAGATACTAGTTCCTTTGATACATGCAGAATAAACTCTTTTTTTCATTTAACTTCCTTTTTCCAGCTGACACATTATGCTAATTTATTGCAAGCTAAAGGATAGTCATATACATATGTGTTTTATGCAATCTCAGAAGTATCTCCCTAGTTTGAAAGTGGTAAAGAAACTTATTTCCATTATTTAATTCTGTCATGTATAGAGGTGTGGTTTTATCCTCTGAATGCAAAAGGAAAATATCTTTTAAAAATTTCTCAATGCTATTCTTTATCTGATATATATTTTTTTAATTATATTTTTCAGGCCCTGCTCGATACTCAGAATCTTTTGCGTGCACAAATCAGAAATTTTACATTCAACTTGGGATTTTCAGGGAAATTTTACCATACAGGTAAGAAAAAAGGATTAACTGGGGCCGAGCCTGTGGCGCACTCGGGAGAGTGCGGCACTGGGAGCACAGCAGCGCTCCCGCCCGGGTTCGGATCCTATATAGTGATGACCAGTGCGCTCACAGCGCTCACTGGCTGAGTGCGGTGCGGCCGGTCTCAAAAAGGACAAAAAAAAAAAAAAAAAAAAGATTAACTGTTTTCTCATTAAGGCCTCTTCGACCACTCTATTTAAAATTGCACACCCCTCCTGCTCCTACCCTCTTCATTCCCTATGTTCCTCCCCTACTTTTCTTCATAACTTAAGATACTATTTTTTAACCTTTAGAAAATGTTAATGGTTTGAAATTTTATGGTATTACCTAATGGCCTTCCTTTTTTATTGAATTATAATTTACATATATAAAAGTGCATAAATAATAAGTGCAGTGTTCAGTGAATTTCACAAAGTGTGCACAGGTGTGCAACCAGCAGGCAGATCTAGAAAGAGAACACTACCAGAATCCTCCTGTGCCCCATTACAGTCACTTGCTTTCCTCAAAGAAAACCATTATTCTGATTTCCAATATAAATTGGTTTTGCCTGGCTTTGAGATATGAGTAAAAGAATTCATATGGTATGGACTCATCTGAATCCAGCTTGTTTTGTTTAACATTATTTTGGTTTCATAGGTATTATTATGTATTGGTTGTAATTTTTTCATTTTAATTGCTATGCAGTATTCCATTTCTTGAACATACCAAAATTTCTTTATCCATCTCATTCCAGTGTAGATTGATTGGTTGTTCTCAGTCTTATACTTTTTTGAGTACTCCTGTTATGAACATTTTATACCTGTCCCTCAAAGGATTTATGTATTCTTTTCTGTTGGTTATCAACCAGGAGTGGAATTGCTAGTTATGTGGCACACTTATTATCAGCTTCAGTAGAAAAAGCGTAAAAGTTTTCCACAGTGGTTTCACCAATTTAAGTTCCCAACAGTATGAGTGTTCCCATTGCTCTACATCCCTGCCAAAGTTTTATATTTTTTGTCATTTTAATTTTAGCCTTTCTCGTAGGCGTGGAAAGATATTATAGTTTTAATGAACATTTCTCTGATGAGTAGTAAATGAGATTCTTTCATATATTTATTGGCCATTCTGGTATCTGCTTTTGATAAGTACCTGATTTGTGGGGCAGGGCAGGGGGTTGTATTAGATCGTCTGCTTTATTGATTGATTTGTAGAAATTTTTATGGATTTTTAATGAGTATTTTGTCGGTTATATGTGTTGCAAATACTTTCTCCCACTCTTTCCTAATAGTATTTTTCATGGGCAAAAATACTTAATTTTAATCTTATCCAATTTATTATTTTTTCCTTATGGTCAGTTTTTTGTGTCTTGTTTAAGAAATCTTTGCATACCACAAGATCAGGAAAACATTTTTCTACATATTTAAAATTTATAAATTTGTTATCAATCTAGAATTGATTTGGGCTATGTATCAGATAGGGGTCAAGGTACCTTCTTTTTTTCACAAAGTTACCTAATTTGCTTCAAGTATTGAAAAGACCGTCCTTTCTCACTTTACCATAGTATCATTGTCATAAATTAGATGCCCACATATATGTGGGCCATGTTTCTAGACTTTCTTTCCTCTTCTCTGGATCTATTTGTCTCCATCATATTGTCTTATTTACTGTAACTTTATAATTGATATTAACATCTGCTAGTGTAAATTCTCCAGGTTTGTTCATCTTCTTCAGGATTGCCTTGGCTATTCTTGGCCATTAGAATTTTCATATAAATTTTAGGATCAGCTTACCAATATCGACAAAGAAACTTGCTAGAATTTTTATTGAGATTACATTAAACCTATAAACTAATTTGGGGAGAGTTGACATTAAATATTGAGTCTTCCAATCGTTGAAAATATTTTGATCTTCTTTAATTACACTGAATAAAACTTAATAGCTTTTAGAATTATTCCTTAGGATTTCTTTTAATGCAATAGCAAATGGTGTCTTGTTTATTTCATTTTCCATTCCTTTGTTGATGGTATGTAAAAATACAATTGATTTGTATATTGATCTTGAATCTAGCAATCTTGCTACATTCAGTTATTAATTCTATAGTTTGTTGGTTCTTTTGGATTGTCTACCTATGCAATCATGTGATTTTTGAATAGTGGAAATTTTACTTATTCCTTTCCAAACCTTATGAATTTTGTTTCTTTTTGTTGCCAATTGCACTGGCTTGGATCTCCAAGACAATGTTAAATAAAAATGGTGATAGCAGAATTCCTGTCTTATTCCTGACCCCAGGGGGAAATCTTTTAATAGATTTGTACCTGTTCTCAAGGGGAATTCTTTCAGTAGACAATTTTGTAGCTGCTCTTTTATTAGCCTAAAGAAGCTTGCTCCTATTCCTAGAATGCTGAGAGTTTCCGCATGAATGGATGTTGAAGGCACTTTGTTTTTAAATTATTTATCTATTGCCTCTCTTTTCTCTCTAAAATGAACACTCCATGAGGGCTTTACTACTGTAACACCAGCAGCTAGAACAATCCCCCAGTGGCGCACTGCTACAGTGCGCCGCTTGGGAGCGCGGCGGCGCTCCCACG